ACCCTGGGTAAGTCACTTAACCGCAATTGCCTCACCAAAAAGAAAAAAAAAAACCACAAGAAATTCAATCAATTAAGTTAAAGAATAATACAACCCAAAAGGGGGGAGGAAGAAATTCATCACTTAAAAAAAGAGAGAGAGAAAAATTACTTAAAGAAAAAAACAGGAGCTGTAAATACGATGAAAATTATGAATTAAAAAGTGAGATGAGATCCCACCACCACCATGGTGCTTAGTAAGTGCTTTGTTCATCCATTCAGAGTCACTCAGTAGAGAAATGCCCAGTAAAACAAGCCTGAGATTCTCTCTCATACTAATCATGTTGGCAAAGTTGACCAAAAAGGATAATCATAAAGCTTGGAGTGCTGGAAAATAGGCACACTCATTCACTATTGATGGAACTGTGAAACTGGCCCAGCCATTCTGGAAAGCAATTTCCAGAATTTCCAATGCCCCAAAAGTAACCAAACTGTATATAGCCTTTGTCCCAGTGTTACCTCTAGTAGGTCTATAACCGAAAGAGATTAAAGAGGAAATATTTATAGTAGCTCTTTTTGTACTAGCAAAGAAATGGAAACTAAGGGAGTGCCCACCTCTTGGGAATGGCTATACAGGTTATGGTGGTGCAGTGGATAGAGGGTTGGGCCTGGAGTCAAGAATACTCATCTTCATGAGTTCAAATATGGCCGCTGATGCAGAGTGAAGTGAGTAGAACTCATGACAACATTGTAAAGACAGCTCTAAAAAATCGAAGCACTATGATTAATTCAATAACCAACCATCATTTCAGAGGCGATAGGCTCAGAGAACAGACCGAGAAGAGCCCGTATTTCAAAAGGTGCAGCCGATCTGGGAATGGGTTTTGCTGGATTTGGCATGCTTTACAAGGCTTTGTCTTTCCTTTTTCCCCAGAGGTGGGAGGGAAAGAAAACTGATTTTTGTTCTTTCAAAAAATTAAATAAGAAAGACAAAATAAGGGTGGAAATGAGAGCTCTCGAAGAGAAATTTTAAAACAGCAGAATCAGCTATTTAGAATAAATGGTGGAAACCCTCGCTGCCCAGTGGGTATCTTGCAAAAGAGCTTGACCAGTTCAGAACTCAAAAATGCAGACAGAACAAGGACCATCAGAACAAAACCAGCGGCCCTTAGAGGAAAGCGCTGGGAGCCGGAGGCTGAGCGGAATCCTGCTTCTGCCGCCTGAGTGACTCTGGGCAAGAACCCTCATTTCCTTCCGCCTCAGGGCGGGGCTGGACGACCTATCCTATAGGATTCCCTCCAGCTCCAATTGTGATTCGATGATCAGGATCTAAGCTCAGCCTCCAGCCCGGACAGAGAGGGACTTTGTGGTTCCAAAGAACAGGATTCCAGAGACTAAAGCAACGTCACTTCTATCTGCTCTGCCCCATCTCACCCCCATTTGGAGCATGGTGTGTGTGTGGAAGACCCCAGCTCCAGTCCAGCCTCAGGCCCATCCTGGCTGTGTGATCCTGGGATAGTCACTTCTGTGAGACTGGGTGTACAGCCAAGCACTTGTAGAAGGGTATTGGTACAGGAGTGCCCACACCAAAGAAATCACACATCCAGACAAAAAGAAATAGTTAAAGCAATTTAGCGAGTTTAATTGGAGCAATCCGGTGTCCCTGGGCCAGGGAGGCAGGAAGTCAGTACTGCAATGACGCTGTCTGTCTGGCCCTGCCACTAGGGCCCAGGGCCCCATGGGGGTCCAGGCCACGCAGGGCTAGCTGCCTGGTACTGCGGCCTGCAGTCCTCAGGCCGGACAGCCACCATGGGCTGATGCTTATGCTGATGCAAGGAGGGGATGGCAGGCAATGGACAACCTTCGCCAGGCCACCTCATGCCCGCCTGGCTCCTGCTGTGCTGGGGACACTCCACAGAACTCTTTGGCAGCAGCCCAAGAGAGCTTTCAGAAGTGTTCAAGGCCTCCCAGATGGTTCCAAAACATCCCCAGATAGGATGAACATGCTTCCTTTGAATGGAGAAGCAAAGGGACCTTTTAGGAGGGGCCTGCCACCCCTCTACTCCCTCTCCTTCCTTGCACTGGGAGTGGGCACACTGCATCTTCTCATGTCCAGCCTGTCAGTGGGCACCTTTGCCCAGGACTACTGTGAGGAACGATTCCACCAGGCCAGCAGAGCAGTCAGGGCCCCTCCCTGAGCCTTGGGTTCCCCCTTTGCCAAGGAAGAGGAGAGTGTCAGGGGGCTTCCCTTTCATTTCTGTCTGACATCCCCTCTGTACCCTGTGCCTGTCCAGACAAACAAGCTAGGGCTTTCATGCCAGAAGTGGAGATTGATCGGAAGATTAACAGTCAGGCATGCCGAAGCTGACCGGCCCTGCAAGCTGTAAGCCTGTCTAAGTGTAAGCCCTGCCCTGCCAGAGGGGCCAAGTTCAGCTCCAGCTTGGTGCCCAAAACCTGAAGAAGAGCCCATTCTGTCCCTCTGAACCACAACCCCAGGCTGGGGCTAAGGACAATTCAGATCTAATGTCCTGGTTGTCTTTGGCACTGTTTGGTACAACTGGATTGGCTCCATCACAATTTCCTTACATCCCTCCAGCGGAAAGAAGCCTTGGAGGTGTCATGGAGTACCTCCAGATTTCCTGTTCCTGTTCTTTCAAGACACCCACAGAACTCCAGGGGATTGTTTCTTCCATCGTGGGGGAAAAAAAAAACCTCAGGTGAAACCATGAGGTTTCCCCTGAACAAACCCACTTCCTTGGCGCTAAGAAGTTCCCAACAGCTTATCTAGTTAACACGTTTTACTCTCTTGGGATCTACTCCCAGGGAAATTGAACTGGAGTTTTTAGGAGTCCTCCGACGCCCCTCCCCCACTCCCTGACCCTCGAAGCTTGTTAAACCCAGCTTAGACCTATTGACATTTTAATGCCTTAGGATGTGACTAGCAGATCAAATGGAATTCGTCCTCAGCTCCCGACTAAATTATCCTACGGAAGTCAGGCGCTTTGCGGAGCCAAAATCCAAGGCCGAGGACCATACCGCTCACAGAGCCTGGCCCTAACCACTCCGGAGTCCCCGCAGCAGCGCCAGGGGCTCTAGCCTGCGGGCCTCTGTGGCCTTAGAAACGGTCAATCGCCTTGGTGGGCTACAAAAACTGGCTGGCAGACGGTCCACTGCGCTCCCTCTCAGCTCACACCAGGCGAGTAGGAGACCTGACGTTTCAAATCCATCCAAAGGAATGGGTCTTTAGTCATTAGGGTTTGGGGTCTTCCTTCTTTCCTTCCCAATTTTAAATTGGGTTTCAGCCTCTGCCGCCTTTATATCTCTCCTTCCAAGCTACACCAACTAAAGCTCAGATCCCTTGGCAGGGGCGGGGGGAGAAAGGAGGGGGGGGGGGACTGGAGGAGTGAGTGAGCTGGGGACGGAGGAAAAAGCGGAGTCCACGGCAAGGACAAAAACCTGTCCTGTAGGCTCGGCTTGGAGGCCAGTCACAGAAGGCGAACTCCGGCCGACTCTGGAAGGCCTGCGGTCTGCTTCCCTTTCCCCTCATCCTCGGAGTTGCACGGACACCGACCCCGAGTCCCTTGGGACCGCGGGATCTCAGGGCAGCCACAGCCCGGGACGCAGATGGAGGAAGCTGGACGCGGAGAGGGGCTGGAAGGGTCCCCGCAGCTAGCCCTGCCGACCTCCCCAGCCCGGCCTTCAGCGACGTTGCAGACTTGCTCACCCCTTCCCGCATCTGTCTGTCAGTCGGTCGGGGCCAGCAGTACCCAGGATCCCGGGGTGGGCTGATGCCCGGGTAGGGACGCCCCACCGTCCTCCTGCCTCCATCCCAGGGCCAGTAGAAATGAGTGGTGAAAAGTCTCGGGTGAGCCCCCTGGCCCGCTTTCCTCCGCGCCCCCCCCCCCCCGCTACTCCCACTCCTTCCAAACTGGACCCCATATCTTTTCCCCTCCTCGACCCACCTAGTCATACAGCTACCCCATCTCCAAGGTCTACCCGACTGGCGGCTCCTGGACCTCCGAATCGCACAGAGGTTTAACCCCCTCAAAACCCCGTATCCGGCCTGTTCCCTCAGCAAGGGAAAGAGAAAGAAAAGATAAGGCCCTATTTAAACTGTCCTGGGTTCCCCAAGTTCTGGAGAAAGCGGGAAATACCCAGTACTCCGTGGGCCCCCAAAGGGGACTCTGGTTCGGGAAAAGTGTCCCCCAAAAATGAAAGGGAGGCCTGGGGATTTATTTACTTCCAAACGTAAAAAACCATTAGAAGGCAAGGCAGCGTGGGATTTGGGGCCTTCCCAGCTATATGGCTTTGGGCAAGATCCTCCCACTCTCCAGGCTTTCAGCCTGGTCATCTGTAAAATCCTCCGTGGCAGAGATCAGTGGTCAGTCAGCCCTCGGGGAGGAGAACCTCTGCGCCCCTCTAGCGCCTCGAAATCTGGGTCCCTGACTCCTCCGCACAGTTCTGCCCACATTCAATTATTTTTGGCATTTACGGTAGGCCACCTTACAGAGCTGCAGTCAGCCAGCATCTCCCCCAGACAGGACTATCTTTGAGGAGTCACACCCTTCCTTCCCTCCTCCCGGCAGCCCCTCCCCTTCAAAAAAGCAGGTGAGATTCAGTAGCATGCAGACACTGTCCCGTGGTGGGGGTCTGAGGGCGGGCAGGCTGGCAGGGAGTGAGCTAGGGAGTGTGTGTGCGTATGCGTGTGTGTGTGTGTGTGCGTGTGCGTGTGTGCGTGTGTTTGTGCGTGTCCGTGTGTGTGTGCGTGTGCGTGTGTGTGTGTGCGTGTGTGTGTGTGCGTGCGTGTGTGTGCGCGAGCGCGCGCCCCACAGGAGCTGGGGGCTTCGGGCCGCTGGGCTCCAAGGAGACAAAGCCCGCGGGACCAGCTCGGCCCGCTCACCTCCCTTGCACTGTCCCGAGGTCCGGGGCCCCGGACCGCCGGCCGGCCTGCCCGCCTGCCTTGCCCGCAGGACCCAGCCAGAGCCGGCCGGGCTCCGGGCTCCGGGGCTCCCGCACGCCCCGCTACCTGCAGCCGCACGTCTCCACCACCATGTCCTCGTACTGCTTGTAGACGACGTTGTTGCCCGCGTCGATGTACAGGATGCTGATGGGGCTGAGCTTGGCAGGCACGCAGCAGCTGGGCGGCGCGGCCTCGGGTGCCATGGAGTTCATGAGCGTCTGGATGATGGCGTGGTTGGTGGGCTCCAGGTGCGAGCGCAGCGGGAAGTCACACACTCCCTCGCAATGGTAAGCCTCGTAGTCGAGGGGAGCGATGATCCAGTCGTCCCAGCCCAGCTCCTTGAAGTCCACGTGCAGAGGCTTGCGGCCGCAGCGGCTCCGGCCCCTGCGCCCTGGGGCCCGCCCTGCGCTCGGGCTCCCGCTGCCTCCGCCAGGGTCCCCAACCCCTCCCGTCACCCGGGCCCCGACCCCGGGCCCGGCCCCCGGAGTCCGCCGCTTCCTGCGCCCCGCGGAGGGCGCAGCGCCCGGCCGCCCCCGGGCCCGGCCCTTGGCCCGAAGCTCCTGGAAAAGGTTCTCTTTCGTGCGGGCGCGCGAGAAAACCACCAGTAGGGCCCGCTCGTTGGGCGGCGGCCGCAGGCTCCCGGGCAGCCCCAAGCCCAGGAGCCTGGGGGCCAATGGGCTCCTCGAGGGGCCGCCCACCGCGCGCAGCGCAAGGCAAAGGGGCAGCTCGAGCCGGTGCTGCCTCACGACGTCCGCCACGTCAAACACTTCCCAACGCGCCGAGTCAAGAGGGCCGGCGGGCCTGGAGGCCAGTAGCCGAGGCCCACGGGCCGCGCCCGGGCAAGTGGAAAGCAGGAGCAGGGCGAAGGGCTGCGCTCCCAGGGCCTCCCCGAACTCCCCCAGGGCCGCCGCCTCCTGTTTGGCCGGCCGATCTCGAGCTGCCGGCGCTCGGCGAAGGACCCGAAGTTCCGCGGCCACTACTTCGCCAGCGTCTGCCAAGCTGGACACGTCGAAGAGGAAACGCTGGCCTGTCTCGGTGGAGGCATCGTCTGCAAGGGAGGAGACAGAGACAGAGAGAGACAGAGGGAGAGGAAGAGAGAGAGAGAGAGGGAGAGGGAGAGACACAGACACATAGACACAGACAGAGACAGAGAGAGACAGAGGCGGACAGAGACAGAGACACGGAGACAGAGAGAGAGAGTTGGTTGGAGACTGATAAGGACACGCGGCTCTCCCCCCATCAAATTCCCCTCAGAGTGGAAAAGCACCACTCCCTAATTTGCCAGCTAGGGAAACTGAGGAAACTGAGAGAGATTCCTCCGGACCGCAATCTCCATTGCCTGCATCTTTGCTGCATCAGACAAAAAAAAAAAAAAAAGTGAAATTGCAGACTGCTTCTCCCCAGCTCCAGTCAGAGATAACCAAATCGGTGAAAGCCTCAGGGGCCCAGGCAGTTTCGGGCAGCCGCAGCAATCCCGCTAGCCATCCCCCATACCTCCTAGCCATCCCCCACACCTCCTAGCCATCCCCCACAACCTGCCTGGACCGAGTCTACTCGTTAGGCAGACCGCGGAGCTTGGGCAAAAAGGAGGCACAGCTGGGACACAGGTTAAGCCCCAAGACCCAGGAGGAAAGCCCGGGGCTTCAGGCTTGTCTGCCGCAGCTCCACTCTCACTTTCTAAAAAGCGGCTCAGCCGCTGGCTGTACCTTTCACTTCATTCTCAGGACCAGGCGATGTGCCTGGGGAGGCCAGGATCCCCAAGGAACGCCTTGGCAAGAGCCCTCCTTACTAGCGGCAGCAAAATGCCCGACTTTGGGGGCTTCCTACGCTGGGCCCTCAGGGCACGGGGCCCAAGCACTGCCCAGCCAGATATGAAGCCTACGAGTGGAAGGGAAGGGAGAGAGCGCTGGTGCGGGCGCCCTTCCCTAATCTCTGGCCCCAGTCGGAACCCTGTGACCACCCCACGCCTTCAGCCCACCCGTGGAGAGCCTGAGATGCGCTCCCACAGCCCCTCAGTCACTGTTTCTCTCCAGTGGGAAAGGGAGACTAAAGCTATTCAGAGTTGTGTAGGTTTTTTTTTTCTTCTTGAGTCCCAGGGAAGAAAAAAAAAAGTGGGGGGGAGCTGGGGGGAATTCCTCCAAGCAGCGGCTAAGGCGAACACTTTGAAGAGGTCATATGGTTTCATTTTGCCCCCAAAGGCAGAGAGCGTGCGGAAAGTTTGCCTGAAATTGTGGCATTCAGGGCTCGGTGTCCCAGCCCGGGCACCCAAGCTCGGGCGTCCTAGCGCTTAAGATAAGGCTCCTTCCGAGCTGCCGATGGGGAGGAAGGCAGAGGGGTAAGCCGAGAGGACAAAGCGAAGCAGAGAAGGGAGTGAGAAGATGAAAGAGAGACGAGGGATTGGCCAGAAGAGAAGAGCTGTCTTCTGGCAGAAGACAATGTAGAACGAGCAGGACCTTGAAATTCCAGAAACCTGGGCTCGGTCGTGGCTCTATCCCGACTCAATGGATGACCCCGGGCATTCTGGGCCTCACTCGTTCCATTGTAAAACCAGGGGGATACGGGGTTGAACAAGCTGCTTTGGAAGGGCCCTCGAAGCTGCGATTCTCGAAGCACTGGCCCAGGAAAGAAGGAAAGGCCCGAGGCCCAAGGAGAGAAGACATCTAGATAGAAAGCGGTGCCCACGAAGGCGGCCGAACGCGAGTTTCCCTACATGTGCTTTTGCCCGAGGACACCTTTGCCCTAAAACCAGCGGCTTTTTCTTGGCGTCCTGGGCAGTGCAGCCACTGGGGAATAAATACGCCTGCCTCCCCAGGAGAGCTCGAGGACGTTCCTCCTGGTCGGTCTTCCCTGCCCCCCGACTCCAGATGGCCAGGCGCCCAGTTTAACTTAGCAGCCTGCTCTAAGGAGGGCAGGGCCTCTCCGGCCGGCAATGTCAAGGGAGGGAGGTCGGATTACGAGAACCAGCCTTTCAGAGAGCAGCACCCCGCGGAGTAGGGCTGGGAAGGGAGCCCGAGGGGGCTCAGACAAGCCTCATGAGGACGGGCTTTCGCTGGAAGCGAAAACCTCGGCCTGGGCCCTTCTTCTGGCTATCAGTGGAGCCGTCCCGATCCCCAGTTTGTGGCTGTGGAACAGGTCCCTGGTAGGCTTGTCCTCTCTGGGCCGGCCCACGTCGGTCCCAGGCTGCTCTCCTGCACGGTTTGGGGCTGGAGGGAATTAAGACTGAAATTTACCGGAGTTTCCGCCTGAAATTAGTTACATTTCTCCTATCTGTCTGCCTTAATGACTTCAATAGAGATTAATAAAGTCCAGATGAGACGCACCCCGTCTCTCTCCCCGCTCCTCACTAGGGCCCGACGCAGCCCCCGCGGGGCCAGCCTCGCCCAGAATGGACTCCGGCTCTGGGACCCGGGGAGGGCAGCACAATGATGAGACGGAGGAGATTTGAAAGAGAGCAAGGAGGCCAGAATTGGGCCGGGTCGTATAGAACAGTCGCTGGGCCTGGGCAGCGAGAGAAGGGATGATATGGAAAAGAACTAGGCGGGTAGAGAACAGAATTAGAAGCTCTTAGCTCAGCACTTCAGCGGGAAAGGCGGCCCGCTGGAGTCGAGCGGTGACCCGTGGCCTGACCCCGACCCCCACACTCCCCTCTTGGAGTCCTGGCCACGAAAGCCTTGGGCCACGGACTCTGGGCCTATCCACTCGAGGGTCCCTTCCTTGCCCGGGGACCCTGCACAACGCTGTGCAGCCCGAGCTGCCCTCCCACTGCCGGCTCTCGGACCCAAAGTCCAGAAGTTCCCTGTGAAGTCTCCCTGATACAAAAGCCTTCACACCTGGCCCCACCCCCCAAAAAAGAAAGACTCCCGGGTAAAAATGACACTGTCCACAGACAAGCTAGAGTGCACTGGGCATATGCCATCTCCCGCCTCCGGGCACCAGACAGGTGGGCATACTACGACAAGATGGGATAGAAGTACTCCGGAAGAAGCCGCTCCGAAGTCCGGCTGCCCTATAGCAGGCTGGGGCTGGTGTGGATGTCCTCTGCCCCCGATCTCCCCGCTCCAAAACACACACACACACACACACACACACACACACACACACACACACACACACAC